GTATGCCTATTTTACTTGGGTCTTTTATAGGTTAGGTTAGGTTGGGTTGGGGTTGGGTTGGGTTGTTGGGGTTGTTGGGTTAGATTGAGGTTGGTGGTGTTAGTTAGGTTGTTGAGTTGGGTTGTTGGGTCGTTGTTGGGAGTTAGGTTGAGTTGGGTTGGTGTTGGGTTGGGTTCGGTTCGGTTCGGTTAAGTTCGGTTAGGTTAGGTACTGGTTCGGTTCGGTCCTGGTTCGGTTAGGGTTAGTTGGGTTAGGTTAGGCAGGTTAGGTTAGGTTAAGTCAATGAATGTCATACAGTATATTCCTAACCTGTCGAAGTCGGATAATATTGCTAGATATTATGTACTTAATGGCATAACACTTGGTATCTTACTATGTTCTTCTGACGTTGGTTATGTAGTGTGTGTGTGTATAGGCTGGGGAGTTTGATCTGCCGTACACACTAATCAATAAATTATCGACCAGTTGACGCTTATTTGTGACTCCTAGAACCAACACTCACCCTTCCTGTCTGCCACCACACCACCCCACACTACCACCCACACCCCACACTATCACCCACACCCACTACCACCCACACCTCACACTACCACCCACACCCCACACTACCACCCACACCCCACACTACACCCACACCTCACGCTCCACCCACACACACCACACCACCACCCACACACCACACTACTACCCACACCCCACACCCACCCACACCCCACACTACCACCCACACCCCACACACTACACCCCACACCCCACACCCACCCACACCTCACACTACCACCCACACCCCACACACCCACCCGCCCACACACCACCCACACCCCACACTACCACCCACACCTCCACACTACCACCCACACCCCACACTACACCCACACCCCACACCACACCCAACCCCACCACCACCCACACCTCACACCACCACCCACACCCCACACCCACCCACACCCCACACTACTACCCACAGCCCACACTACCACCCACACCCCACACACCCACCACCTCACACTCACACCACCACCCACACCCCCACCACCCACACACTACCACACCACACACCCCCACACCCCACACTACCACCACACACACTACCACCCACACCCCACACCTACCACCCACACCACACTACCATCACACACAACATACCACCCACACCCCACACTATCACCACACCCCACACTCACACCCCCCCGCCCTCCACATATATATTGACTAATCCACCATGTTATAGGATAAGTAGGTCGTTATCCATTATATATTTTATGGAGTATATTCTCTCTCTCTCTCTCTCTCTCTCTCTCTCTCTCTCTCTCTCTCTCTCTCTCTCTCTCTCTCTCTCTCTTTCCCCTATTCATCGCTTCTACCCGTCAGCCCTCCTATCCTCCATATATATCTTACTTCCCTCTCCCACCACTCATTTACACCCTCTTTCCCTTCCTCCTCCTCCTCCTCCCTCCCCACCATCATCTCAAGATACACGTTCCTTTCCTTTGCTTCCTCTCAAATACTTTTTCCTTACTTGGCCCCTCTCTGAATGTCCTCTCCTTCATTCTCTCACCCCCTCCCACACCCTCCTTTTCTTCTTCTCTTTTCCATCTCCTCTCTCATCGTATATCCTCTCTCTCTACCCCTGTCTCTCCTCCTTTTCCTCCTTCTATTATCTACCCCTTCCTGTTTCTCCTCTCCTCCCTTATTTACCCTTTTCCTCCTTTCTGCCCCCTACACCATGTATCTCAACTCCTTATCATCACTCACCCTCACCATTTACCTCTCTTCACTTCACCACCACCTCACTCCTCACCCCTCCTGTAGATTCCAGTATTGATTGACAGTCACTGAGATGCTGCAGAAAATAATCGATAACTGGAACGAGAACCAGGGTTCAACCGTCCCTCTTGTGTCTGTCTGTCTATCTGTCTGTCTGTCTGTCTGTCTGTCTATATATCTGTCTGTCTATCTATCTGTCTATCTGTCTGTATTCTGTCTGTCTTGTTTTGACTGCTGTACACACAACAACACACACATACAACACACACACACACACAACACACACACAAGGTAGCTGTCAGGAGGGAGGCAGCTGAGCCAACCATCCTGGGACGACCCACACCTCCAGCCCACGGGTAGGTGTGTGTGGGGAGGGGGGGGGAGGAGAGCACACTTATGTACAGCGAGAAGGAGGGAGAGCTTTAAGTCGGCAGAGGTTAATCGCTGTTCTCTGGAAATTCTGTGTCTAATCGTGTGTGTGTGTGTGTGTGTGTGTGTGTGGGAAGATAGAGGATAGTAAAGGGGTGTAGAGTGGTAGTGTGAGTGCTGCTACGTAAGGGAGGCAGGGGGGTGTAGGTGCTGAGGGGGTGGTAGGTAGGAGGTGTGTGTGTAGGGAGGAGGTAGGAAGGAGGTGTGAGGTAGGAGGTAGGAGGTGTGGGAGGAGGGAAGGATAGTAGGTGTGGGAGGAGGTAGGAGGTGTGGAGGGAGGAGAGGTAGGAGGTGTGGAGGGTGGGAGGTAGGAGGAGGTAAGAGGTGGAGGGAGGGAGGAAGGAGGGGGTGTGGAGGGAGGGAAGGATTAGGTGTAGGTGTGGGAGGGAGGTAGGTGTGGAGGGAGAGAGGTAGGAGGTGTGGGAGGGGAGGTGGAGGTAGGTGTGGGAGGTAGGAGGTGTGGAGGGAGGGAGGTAGGAGGTGTGGAGGAGGGAGGTAGGGAGGTGTGGGAGGGCGGGAGGTAGGGAGGTGTGGGAGGGAGGTAGGAGGTGAGGTGGGAGGAGTGGAGGTGGGAGGTAGAGGTGTGGAGGCGCCTCACAAAAGACCGCGGCAGATTAAGCAATGTTAACGTGAGCGTGAGTGTATTGTCCAGCACCTCAATATCCACCAGACTCTGCCCGACACCCGACAGCCCGACACCCGACAGCCCAACACCCGAGGTAATAAGAGACGCGAATGCTTTTACGTGTGCAATTATTACCCAGCTAACGCGCGTGAGCTACCCTGGTGGTGGTGGGTGTGGGGTTTGCGGCGGCGGCGGTGGTAATGGTGTTGGTAAAAGCCGACGAGGGAGAGAGATAGGGAGGGAGGGAGGTAGGGAGGGTAGGGGGAGGGCAGGGAAGGGAAGGTAGGGAGGAGGGAGGGAGATCTTGGGTGACGTTCAGTTGATATGTTTTGTGTCACTGTATTATGTGTAGTGATTGGTTGGTAAGGAAGTTTAGAGAAAAAAATGCCTCTCTCTCTCTCTCTCTCTCTCTCTCTCTCTCTCTCTCATAGATGTACACAGTATAACCATTGTTTCCTTTTGTATTCTCTTCACTCCTTAAAATTCTGCCCTACACCCTTTCTTGTGTGTGTGTGTGTGTGTGTGTGTGTGTGTGTGTGTGTGTGTGTGTGTGTGTGTACGCGTGTGTGTGTGTGTGTGTGTTTACACAGACATCTGCATCTATTCTATCATAATATATTCATCTCAATATTCTTGATGAATCAGGTTGCCTTCAGCGCGGGTCATGCGGGGGCGACCCTCCCAATTACTCCCATTACTAGCTAATCTGACCTTAATATTCCCTGAGCCGCGGTGCTGGTGAGCGAGGAAGGAGGCGCCCTCAGCTGCCCGCCCGCCCGCTCCAAAAGCAAAATCCACTCGTCTGGGGACATGAGGCTCTCTGATTGGCCCTCACTCACCATGACGTCAGCTAATATCTATCCCATTACTAGGTCAAGTTTACTTTGGGTTTAATGTTCGGGTTTAGGGTCTGTTAGGTGGGTTGGGTTAGTTTAGTGTGTGTGTGTGTGTGTGTGTGTGTGTGTGTGTGTGTGGTGTGTGTGTGTGTGTGTGCGCGCGTGTGTGTGGACATGAGAGAGAGAAACACCAGCTGACCTCATGGTGAGCAAGAACCAGTCAGTGTTTATCATGCCCTCATATGAGTGGATTCTGCCAGGTCTCAGACGTATATTACAAGAAACCAATCATAAATTACCAAAATATTTCCCATAAGAATAATTAATTATTTTTTTAAAGTTTATAACGACAAATACATTTTCATTTATTTATGTATTAATTAACTGCAACACCCAGTAATACATATGTCCAATTTCTCTGACAATTTCCTGTACTAACTTAATATAACGAGGTTCTGATTTTTTTTCCCTAAGTCCACAATAAGATATTACATAACAGAGCAGCTTGTAACAGCTCTGGGATATGGAGCGACTTTGGGTACAAGAGACTCCGGTACAGGACACTAGCAAGGTTACAGTACCAGGTATAGCCTTTGGTTTTGCGTTGTACTGTAGGCGTGTAGCAGCAACTCACCTACTCATGGGTTGACTCCTGTACTCAACACCGTGTTTCAGCATTTGGTCTCAGTTGAGGAGAATAAATAATGTGTTTCAGTGTGGAGGCAGATAAAATGGTGTGGTGATGGTGATGTGTGTGGTGTAGTGTGGTGATGGTGATGTGTGTGGTGTAATGTGGTGATGGTTGATATGTTATTATTATTATTATTATTATTATTATTATTAAGTAATAATAATAATTAATGTTGAGTAGTGACTTTGTACATATGTGGTGTAATGTGGTAATGTTTGGTATCGGTGGTTATGGTGTAATTTGGTATCGGTGGTTATGGTGTAATGTTTGGTATCGGTGGTTATGGTGTAAGTTGGTACTGTATGGTGTAATTTGGTATCGGTGGTTATGGTGTAATGTTTGGTATCGGTGGTTATGGTGTAATTTGGTATCGGTGGTTATGGTGTAATGTATGGTATCGGTGGTTATGGTGTAATGTTTGGTATCGGTAGTTATGGTGTAATGTATGGTATCGGTAGTTATGGTGTAATGTATGGTATCGGTGGTTGTGGTGTAATGTTGATATTTAGTGTTGGTCGTGGTGGTATAGTGTTAATGTTGTTTGTGTAGTGTTGGGTAGGGGTCGCGCGAGGTAGGTTAGGTAGGAGGGAGGGAGGGTGAGCGTGCGGTAAGAGTGTGGTGGTGCAGGGGTCGCCACTCCGGCAGGCCGGGGCAGCGAGCGCACGGTAGCGTCACGTCGTTCCCCGCCACCTCCCGCCTCCAGTCCGCTATTCGTAGCCTCACTCACTACTCGGCGGTCCACGCCACCCTTACGCCGCTCCACGCCCGACCTCCGCCGCCGCCGCCGCGCCCACCCGCACAGTTTTGAACTTGGCCGCCGCTGCCCCGTACAAAAGTTTGGTAATTTAGTTTCAAAGAACTTTTGGTCAGAGTTGAGATAATCAAACCCGCCAAACTCCAGTCACTCGGGACGGAGATGCGCACAAGTTCAACGCCCCATGACCAGGAAGTTGTGACCTAGTGAAAGTTGTGATTTTTGCCCAACTTACCGCTTTCTTCCCAAACTCTGCCACCGGACACAAACTTTAAATCATAACCACAACTTAAAGAAATTTGCTGGACTTCCCATGACTCGTGGTGATTAACGCGACTTGCTGCCACCAACCCGCGGTGTATGACATATGCGGAGCAGCTCTCAATGACCATTATATCATCTCAACTTATATTAGCGGACCAGCGGACACCCCAGGACCAGTGACCTAGGTAAGTCTTCCTCCACCTTGTGTTGTGTCCTCGGCTACGAGCTCACGAAATTAACGCCACCTCAAGATCTCCCGTGACCAGCAAGAGTCAAAATCAGGATATATTGAAAGAATATCCTGTCGACGAGATGGAGGGATAGGGTGATGCAGTGTGTGGGTGGAGGAAGGGTGTTAGTTTGGGGGAGTGTTACGGGATAATAATCATACTAAAACTACACTCGTGTCATCCTGGTAATGGAAAACGGTGAAATAATACTGATGGATAGAGATAAAACCCGGCCGCCAGGTGTTGAGACAGTGAACACCTCAACACCAACACGTATAGTAGAGACAGTGTTGGAGGAGCAGTGTTGTTGTTGGTCCGTGGTGGTCGTGTAGCAGCACCCACGTGGCCGCCTTACAACCTGTATTTGCATACTCCCGCCGCTCTCCCTCCCTCCTGCTGACGTCTCCATTATCCTCTCCCACGCCCGGAGTTTATAACCTTCCTCAGCGCTCTCCTCGCTATTACGTCTCTCCCCACTGAGGAAGACCCGCGGCGACACCCCTCACTTGTTGTTACTGCCTCGTCCCTGTGAGCGGAAAATCTCCCCTGATCCACAATAAACATTTTAAAGCGTCATGACGGATGTTCTGGGGTTGAGGGAAATCTTCCGGATCTCCCGTAGAATTCTCTTGTTAGTTTTTGTGTTCCGGGGAGGGGTGTCAACAAGTAAAAAAGGAAATTGTAGTAAAGTAAATATTATCGCTCGCGAGGAAGGCAATTTACTTGTTTAAGCTTTCAGGAAAGTGAATTATAAAAATCAGCAAAACGCTTTGATGTTTCTCGTATTGTGATGAAAAATGAACCAGCTATAGTGAAAGTCCACCTTAGTCTTCCTTGGCGCTATTGAGAGAACGACCAGAGATACAGTCATTAATTACCATCAACAAAATATATATTCAGACAGGTGTCGCTGTTTTACTAGTGAAGCAGTGTGTATGTGTTGAGGTGTCACTAGTGTTTTATTTTTACTAAAGAGAATTAAAAAAAAATATTTGGTCCGTGGCGACAAACAAACACTCACGGGAACACCTCCGCTATTAACTTGAGACAAGATTCCCCAGAGGTCCTTACGTTCAGCTCTCCCTTAAAAGTAGAGAAAACGCGACAACGCTTCTACCTCACCCACCTAAGATACGAGACAAAGATAATGACCAGAGCGGCGTTGAAATTACACTAAGACTCAGCCGTAACGAAGTCAGTGTTCCTCTCCTTCACCTACTCCATGGAGTAAATTAATGTATAATCCCTTGAGAATCTGGTCCCAGGCCCTTGGAAACTGTGTAAGAGGCTTAGGGTGCGATGGACCTTCTTAGACCGGCCCGGGACGCTAAACTGACCCTGGGGAATATGATCAGAGAGGGTGGTTTATGACGGAGGTTGATGCTGGGTCGTGTGAAGCGAGTGAGATGTGTCAGGTGGGTATACAGGTATCTTGAGGGTGTGGAAAATACCGTAGAAAAACAGATGTGTGTTGATAGAATACAAAAGTGAGGTGTGTGTGTGTGTGTTCACGGCCATTTAGCAGGAATTGGTTTGTATGGGTGATGAAACAGAGATTATCGTATTGAAGTAAAAAAAAGTCATGACACGTCTCTTTTCCTTCATTTATTCATCCTTCATGTTGAAAAAATTACTCATAATATCCGGCGTTGTGAGCTGGTATAGATAAAATCATAAATACTCCGTTAATATATATTTTTGGGGGTCTCATTTTACCCCGTAACTGAAGGCCAGAGAATACATTAGTCACGGTAGAGTCGCTATGTAATTTAGGTAACATTTTAACTACCGTCTCTGAGTCTTTGTTGAAGCGAGTCACTGAGATGCGTTCTCATATTTTAGTTCGGAGCAAAAATTCGAACTTAGGAATTTTTTTGAAGACTGGTGAGTCATCTCCGTCGACTATTTCACCAAGACCTCCTTCAGCTGCTGGTGAGAGTGACTACCTCGCCACCACCACCACCACCTCAACCTTACCTCGTAACCGCTAATGTAGAAATATGTCGCCGCGAGCTCCGGAATACATGAGAAGACGGAGTGGTGACAAGTGTGACGGCCAGTCCCTCGGGGCCCTGCCAGCCACAGTCCAACTCACCGGGCAACTCAGGGAGGGAGGCTCGGGGTCCTACGGTGTTTGTGTGCCTAAAAAATTACAGGGTTTTGTGGCTTTTTTCTATTTGCTCACAGATAAAAAATAGTTCGCTTCTGGGCCTCGTGGTGTTAGTGTAGGGGAATATAATAGAATTTGGATCTTCAAATCGTTTATAGAGGTAAAATTACGATGTTTTGATCCGCGTATTGCTTTGGTATAAATAAACGTTTTATCTTATAAGGTCTTTCTCTCTACGCGCAATGTGACGGGAATTAAAAGCAACATATATGTCTCCCCGTCTCATTAGCATTTACTTTGGTGTTTTATCACTGCCTTACCATGTGTGTCTTGCTATAATGTTCGTCGTCCATAGTAAAGACCTGAGATATCCTGCCTACACCCGATGCTTCACCACAACGTCAGGTAGAAAGTCCACCCCCCCAAAAAAAAATTTACCCGCTTCTTAGCTGTCCACTCATTCACGCTCATATATATTACTTCACGTTACCATAGGGAGGATTCACAAGTCCAATACCTTATAATACTAAAAAATATCTATATCCTATCTTAAAATTTCCTGAACGATATTTAGAATTGTAAGTTTTAGTTGACTGTGCAGCTCACGTCTCATTTAACTTTAGATTTATTTGAAAATTAATATTAGTTGAAAATTCTATTATATTTACAACTTCCCCATAATTTACGGCTCGTGACGTAATCTAAAATATGGTGTTAGATAGTGGCTTGTTAATAGTATATGATACCTTCGTTCTGGTACCACAGCGGTCACTATCTCTCACCACTATTAATTACACTACACCGTCACTATATCCATTGGTCCAGTCACACACTTCACTACACACCAACACCACACGGTCACACACCATCACTGCATTTTACCATACACCACTAAACATGTATACACGCACCGATAAAATGCACCATACACCCCTATACCATCACTATATACTACACTACACAGCCACACACTATTACTAGACACTTCAATACACTAAACCATCACTACACTACACTACACACTCTGCCACCATACACTATTACACTACCAACACGGGCCACTACACTACCACCACACCACTACACACTCCCACCACACCTAGCTATACCACCACCACACCACTATACTACCACCACACACCACCGCACTACTACCACACCATTACATTACTACCACCACACCACTATACTACCACTACACACCACCACACCACCACACACTCCACCACACCACTACACCGTACCACCTCACCATTGCACTACCACCACTCACCACTACACTACCACCACAGGTCACTACACACTACCACCACACAGTACTACCACTACACCATCAAACTATTACCACACACTACCACTACACTACCACCACACATCCTCACACACCGCAACCACACACCTTACACACTACCACCCCTACACTACTACAACACTACACACACACACACACACACCTACACACAGAAACACAGATAATAAACGATGTAATAAAGTAAGCAAAGGGAGGGAGAGAGAGAGGGAGAGAGGGAAAGAGAGAGAGAGAGAGAGAGAGAGAACACATCGGCGGATGGTGACGGCGCGGGGCTGGATAGGTCGGTGGAGGTGGTGGCGGTCGCTGAGGCAGAGAGTAGCGTTGAATCGTGGAGCGGCGGCAGCACGTGGCGGCAGCGGGGACTGTGGAATATTGAAATGCCGACCATTTACAACCCTACCTCGCCCCGCTGATCCGCCCTTACCCTGACGATTAAGGCAGGAATGACCGTCGATTAAGGATTAGCCAAGGAGTAGTATGTGATTAGAGAATTTTGCTTTGCATTATTAGGAGTTTTAAGTGATTATTTTCTCTGTAGTTGTGATTATAGACTAGGTGGTGGTACTATAACGTGTGGTCTACAAGGATACCTTTAGTCTAACCTAACCTAATCTAATCTGACCTGACCAGACCTGACCTAACCTGTCCTAACCGCACTCTGTAGTGGTACCGTGTTGTGGGTGTATAATTAACCGACGTAATCAATTTGAGTGTATAATCACACGTCATATTGAGTGCTTAATTACGTATAATATTGAGTGTATAATTAAGTACGGTAACACATCGAGTGTATAATTACGTATCAAATTGAGTGTATAATCACGCGTCATATTGAGTGTATAATTAAGTACGGTAACACATCGAGTGTATAATTGCGTATCATATCGAGTGTATAATTATGTATATATCTTCCTTATATGTGTATAACTACTCATGAGAATACGCGTTATATGTCATGTGATGGGAACAAAATTGATATCGTATGTGGCTATGGGAGCAAGCTATCGTTACAACTTTTGATATCGGTTGTGGCTATCGGAAGTATCGTTACAACTATTGATATCGGTTGTGGCTATCGGAATAAGCTATCGTTACAACTATTGATATCGGTTGTGGCTTTCGGAACAAGCTATCGTTACAACTATTGATATCGGTTGTGGCTATCGGAACAAGCTATCGTTACAACTATTGATATCGGTTGTGGCTATCGGAACAAGCTATCGTTACAACTATTGATATCGGTTGTGGCTATCGAACAAGCTATCGTTACAACTATTCATATCGGTTGTGGCTATCGGAACAAGCTATCGTTACAACTATTGATATCGGTTGTGGCTATCGGAACAAGCTATCGTTACAACTATTGATATCGGTTGTGGCTATCGGAACAAGCTATCGTTACAACTATTGATATCGGTTGTGGCTATCGGAACAAGCTATCGTTACAACTATTGATATCGGTTGTGGTTATCGGAACAGACTATCGTGTCAGGTTATATTAAACATTGAATTATCGGTATCTTATTCATATTT